ATATATATCCCAACTCAAATTAGCCAGAAAACCATGTGTTCCACATTTGCTATCTGCCCCCTGATCCTGTTCCTTTTCATCTGGTCTCCACTTAAACCACCAGATTTTTCTAATGTCTTCATTTAGACTAATATGTCTCACCTGTCTTAAAGTAACAAAGCGATCTTATGAAACTCATTTAGATCATAAACAGTAAATATTCAAATCACTGGACCCTAATCCTGATAACAGGTCAAACACTTTTTAACTTGTAGTAACATGAAACAGAAGCTCAAACAGCAATTCAGCACAACAGATAAAAGACTAAGATAACAAAGAAAAAGAACTCACTACTAATTATGGTTACCTAGGTTCCACATGAAGTATAAATGAGAACAATCAAAACAGTAAGTGTCCACAGAAGGAAGGAAGGAAGGAAAGGAGGGAGGGAAGGAGGGAGGGAGGGAGGGAGGAAGAGAGAAAGAGAAAGAGAGAGAGAGAGAGAGAGAGAGAGAGAACATCAAGTCTTAAATTTGAGGTAGTGAAGAAGTGGACTACACAATCAAAGTAAATTTCAAATCATGTGGCCTTGTTGGAGGAAGTATGTTACTGTGGAGAGGGGCTTTAACCCTCAGGCTATGCCCAGTGTCTCAGTTCACTTCCTAGTGCCTGTCGATCAAGATGTAGCTCTTTTTCTACTCTCAGAACCTTCTCCAGCACAGTATCTGACTGTGTGGTACCATGTCCTGCCATAATGATAATGGACTAAACCTCTGAAACTGTAAACCATTTAATTACACAGTTCTTTAACAAGACTCACCATGATCATGGTGACTCTTCTCAGAAATAAAAACTCTAAGTAAGACTCCATCAAATCCAAGAGGCATGCAGAACACCAAATAGACAGTACTATAAAATCAACCTCCCATGCATATAATAGACAAACCACTAGATATACTCAAGAAATAAAGGATTCGAAAACAAAAGAGAACAATTCATATACAAAATACACTCATAGGATATATAGCATATTTTTCTGTTTTTATTGAACTATTTTCTTATCTAATACAACACGTCACAGCCACAGTTTTGCCACCCTCTACTGCTCCTAGCTCCACACTACATATAGTCTCCCCCAGATCCACACCCCCAATTTCTTTTCCAAAATGAGCAGGTCTCTAATAGATGACATCTATATAAGTTGAAACAATATATAAGGCCACCCTGGTGAGGCTGGAGAAGGTAAACCAACAGGAGGAAAAGAATCTCAAGAATAGGCAAAAGTTTCAGAGATATGCCTGCTCCTGGTTTCAGGAAAAAGGTACTGAGGGAAAATACAGAGAGCTGGGAAGAGAAGAGAAAGTTTTGTTTGGCATGTGAAAACAAGAAAATGAATTGAATGTAAAGAAGATTTTTAAAAACTATCATTCTCTTGTTTTTATCTTTTCATTGTCTTTAGAAATTATATTGACATTTTCATGGGACTTTTATTGATACTTTTTTATTGATTTTATTGAGCTCTACATTTTTCTCTGCTCCCCTCCCTGCCTCTCCCTTCCCCTTCAACCCTCCTTCAAGGTACCATGCTCTCAATTTACTCAGGAGATCTTGTCTTTTTCTACTTTCTACTTCCCATGTAGATTAGATCTATGTAAGTCTTTCATAGTGTCCTCATTGTTGTCTAGGTTCTCTGGGATTGTGGTTTGTAGGCTGGTTTTCTTTGCTTTATATTTAAAAACAACCTATGAGTGAGTACATGTGATAATTGTCTTTCTGTGTCTCACTAAAATAATGAGTTTATTATAATAAACCTCACTAAAAATAATGTTTTCTAGCTCTATCCATTTTCCTGCAAAGTTCAAGATGTCATTATTTTTTTCTGCTGTGTAGTACTCCATTGTGTGTCAAGTTTTCCTTATCCATTCTTCAATCGAGTGGCATTTAGGTTGTTTCCAGGTTCTTACTATGACAAACAAAGCAGCTACGAACATAGTTGAGCACATGTCCTTGTGGCATGATTGAGCATCATTTGGATATCTACCCAAAATTGGTATTACTGGTATTGAGGAAGGTTGTTTCCTAATTTTCTGGGAAATCACCATACTGATATCCAAAGGAGTTGTACCAGCTTGCATTACCACCAGCAATACAGAAGTGTTCCCTTTCCCCACAACATCTCCAGCATAAGTCGTCATCAGTGTATTTTATCTTGGCCATTCTTACAGGTGTAACAGGGAATCTCAGAGTTGTTTTGATTTGGAATTCTCTAATGACTAAGGATGTTGAACATTTCCTTAAGTGTCTTTCAGTCATTTTAGATTCCTCTGTTGAAAGTAACACACAACTAGACAAACCTCCTACACCATTTCAGTTTCAGGGTGTCCTCTTTATTGTTTCTCTCAGTGTCTGTGCTAATGGGGTTACATTTACAAAGTGGTCTCCTGTGCCAATGCATTCAAGTGTACTTCCCCCCTTCTCTTCTATAAGGTTCAGTGTGGCTGGCTTTATGTTGAGGTCTTTGATCCATTTAGACTTGAGTTTTGTGCATGGAGATAGATATGGGTCTATTTTCATTTTTCTCCATGTTGATATCCAGTTATGCCAGCACCACTTGTTAAATATGCTTTCTTTTTTCCATTTGATATATTTTGCTTCTTTTTCAAAAATCAGATGTTCGAAGGTGTGTGGATTTACTATCTGGGTCTTCTACTCAGTTCCATTGGTCCTCCTTTCTGTTCTTATGCCAATACCAGGTTGTTTTTAGTACTGTAGCTCTGTAGTAGAGTTTGAAGTCAGCCTTCAGAAGTTCTTTTATTGTACAGGATTGTTTTGGCTATCCTGGGCTTTTTGCTTTTCCATATGAAGTTGAGTACCGTTCTTTCGAGGTCTGTGAAGAATTTTCCTGGGATTTTGCTGGGCATTGTGTTGAATCTGTAGATTGCTTTTGGTAAGATTGCCACTTTTACTATGTTAATTCTGCCTAGTCAAGAACATGGGAGATCTTTCCACTTTCTGGTGTCTTCTTCAATTTCTTTCTTCAAAGAGTTAAAGTTCTTGTCATACAAGTCTTCCACTTGTTTGGTTAGTATCACTACAAGATATTTTATACTATTTGTGGCTATTGTGAAGAGTGATGTTTCTCTGATTTCTTTCTCAGCCCATGTATCATCTGCACAGGATGGTTATTGCTTTTTTTTTAGTTAATCTTGTATTCTGATACATTACTGAAAGTATTTATGAGTTGTAGAAGCTACTTGGTAGAAGTTTTGGGGTTGCTTATGCAAACTATCACATCATATCATATCTGTATGGACCACCTTAATGTCAAAATGACCAAGTAACCACACCTTTTGTCAGTATGTGTAGCCCTGGTTGTTGTCAACAGTTTTTAGAAACCTAAAACTCTCTGACCATCAGACAAGGAGGAAGTAGGCCCACATACTGGACCTCCACAAGAAATCAATGCTGTAGATGTAGAAATGGTTGATCACAAAATACACATTATTGAAAACTGAGGTCTAGGTCATGATTTAGAACTCTAATGTCCAGTAGTTTCTAGCCTTGATAGTCAGGTAGTATTGATTAGTTCTGGATTAGTAATAATGACTAAATTTCTAACACAGGGAGATACATGGGACTGTGTGCATTAGCAGGCACTCAGACTTGAATGAATCATGCAGTGCATGCTCCACTGATGTAGGACAACACCAATGCAATAATATTATTTCCGATCCTGAACATTATTGTTCATATTGCCTGTGTGTCTGTAATAAGATCTGTCTAGGAATAACGATCTCTTCCACTTCCATCTCAAAACCTGCTTTAAATGTGTTATGGAATCCAAGTCAGCTATTCAAATGGGAATTAGAGAACTGGTTTGATGAATGAGGCTTTTTAGCATTTTGCCCAAGAGGAATCATCTCTGGGGCCTTCAGATCCACTGAAACAGATGGAACCATGAGGGATACAGAGGAAAAGATAATTGTAAGCAAAATAATTACCCATTTCTTGTCACCTGAACATAGGAACTCAGATGCAGAGCCTCGGGACAGAGAACACTTAAGAATCCCTCAGAGGTGAACAAAGGGCTGAAAAACACTACTGAGAGAAGTACAGGCATTCTTTAGTAGTATCTGCAGTGATGAAAAGAGACTCCTGGATGTGTGCATGCATAGCTGATACACGGGTTTCCGTCTGACTCTTCATGCTGCACTCTGCTCAGGCTCCTAACTTAGAGACATAACAAAGATGCTCTCTTTGATCTTTTTCCTTTTGGTCCTGAATCTTGCCCTCATTTTCTGCAGTTTGACTGACCCCAAGTGCTTCATGAGAATAAAAAAGAACAACAAAGAACAAGATATAGAGGAACATTGTTTCTTTTCTATTTATACAGAGGATGGGTATGTAAAGAATAATGATTTCACTGAGAATCTAAACAAGAAGTAAGTACATCTTTGAGTCATTAATTGTAGTTAAGTATGGGAGATGTTGTATTTTTTGGGTACTGAGAAATAGACCATAATTCTGTGTGTCTTCAATATGTGTTGTCTTTCTTCCTCTACAGCACAACCCAAATTTATTTACTGTTTTACTGCTGGTTATTTCACTAAGTCTAATGGTTTATGGGAAAGCTGTTGTTTGTCATTCTTTAGTCAACATTTCCAGGTAGAAGCCGAATGAATGGCTCATACTTATACCATGCTCCTAAGAGATTACCTTAAGATCACCTCTGCAACTCATAGACTCATGTGTTATTCCTCAGAAGCATAGAACCAAATATAGCACAGTATCTGGTTGTAGATATATGCACCTGCTCCTATCTGGTGATTGAAGAAACTTCTCCGAAGTCTACTGGACAAGACACTAATCTATAAATACAGCATAATATCATTAGGAAATGATATCATTTTATGCAGTAGTGTTTGGTTCCACCCTTGGTCTTTGGGTTATCCAGTCTCCATGTCTTGGAAATTCACATAGCGTAGGACATGAACTCCCTCGTGGCCTGGGACTCCTTTTAAGGTGTACATTGGTTGTCTACTCCCACAAATTCTGTGCTGCCATTGCCTGGGCATATATTCCAGGCAGGAATGATGAGATGTGGAACGGTTTGTCATTGGGTTAGTGTTTGGTATTATCTTGCAGTAGCCTCCATGGTACCTTCTTTCACCAAAGAGACTAGAACACAGAAGTAAAGGGCCCAGTTAAGCTCACCATGTTCAGTGAGCTGTGAGTCTGTTGTTTTGGGCCATAGGGAGACAGTCTGTTTTCAGAGAGCAAACTTCTGTCTTAGCAACATCCTGGGTTGTTTGTTGATCTCCATAGGAACCCGTCAATCAAAATTTCAAGCAAATACAACACAATTCCACAACTGGTAACCTTTTCTGGCTACAAACAGGGCCATTGCACAATGCATATTCTCCCTTATAGGGATTCCTCAATAGAGTCACCTTCAAAGATATCAAGAAGTTTCCACTCTGTTTCCAAAGCAACCAAAAAGACTAATCAGTTCCAACTGTCAATCCCTGAACTCTCTCATTCCAACCCTTTACCCTGACCTTATCCTTCCCACTCCCATCACCAACCTATCCTCATTCAAGTCAAACTATTATTCTATTTCCCCTTCCCAAAAAATACTATGACTAGAAATATACTCTTTAAACAACCTGTTTGTATGTGGGAATTGTACCTTGATTATTAATTAATTAACAACTAATATCCTTTTATAAGAGAAAACATCCCATAGTTGTCTTTCTGAGGCTGGATTACCTCACTTAGGATAATTTTGTCTAATTATAATTAATTATAATTATATTAATATTTATATAAATTATAATTTTTATAATTAATATTTATATTAATTATAATTAATCAGTTTCACTGATTGCCTGAAATTTTCATAATGTCACTTTTTAAACAGTTGAGTAATACTCCATTGTGTGTTTCTTTATCCAAACACATTTCTTTATCCATTCTTAGGTTGAGATTGTTTCCAGTTTCCTGCTATTGTGAATAAAGCCACAATGAACATAGTTGAGATTGTGTCCTTGTGGTAGGATGGAGTGTCTTTTTAGAACATGATCAAGAGTTGTATAAATGGCTATTGAAGTAGATTCCCAACTTTCTGAAATACTGCCATAATTATTATTATAGTAGCTGTACAAGTTGACCTGCAACCACCAATGGAAGAGTATTTGCCTTGCTCTACATCCTTGCCAGAGTGAGCTGTTCTCCAAGTTATTTACTAAGCCATTCAGACAGGCTTAAGATTGAATCTCAAAAAGTTTTGATGGCCTTGTCCTGATGGTTAAAGTTTTGAACATTTCCTTAAGTTTCTCAGCCATATATATATGTATATGATATATCATATTTATATCATAATATAAGAATATTTAAACTTCTTACTTTCCAATATGTATCCCATTCATCTCTGCCAGTTGTATTATTGCTCTAGCTAAAACTTGAGGGGTGACATTAAATGGATATGGAGAGAGTTGGACATCTCTGTCATGTTCTAATTTTAGGGGAATTGCTTTGAATTTCTCTCTATTTAATTTGATATTGGCCACATAATCTAAATTCCCTCTATTATGTTTATGTTTGCCTGCTGTAACCTGAAGCTTTCCAGGACTTTAGTGATGATGAAGTGCGTTATTTTTCAAAAGATTTTTGGACATCTAATAAGATGGGGATTTTTTCCTTCAGTTTAGTTTTATGGTGGATTACGTTTACTGTTTTTCCTATTGTGAACTATCCCAGAATCTCTGGGAAGAAGTCTATTTGATCACGGTTGATGGGCTTATTGTTATTTTTTTAAATTCAGTTTGTAAGCATTTTTAAAATATTTTGTATCATATTCATAAGGAGAATTGTTCTATAATTCTTCATCTGCTGAGTCCTTGGTTGTATGTGTATCAGCATAGTTGTGTTCTTATAAATGAATTGGGCAATGATCCTTCTCTTTCTATTTAGAGGAATGGGATGAGGGGCTTAGTAATTAACTTTTTCTTGAATGTCTAGTAGAATTGTTTTGTGTTTAGTGGGCTTTTTTTTTTTTTTGACAGAGTTTCTCTGTAGCTTGGGAGACTGTCCCGGAACTAGCTCTTGTAGACCAGGCTGGTATCGAACTCACAGAGATCCGCCTGCCTTCTGCCTCCTGAGTGCTGGGATTAAAGGCATGTGCCACCACCGCCAGGCTCTCGTGGGCTTTATTCTGTTTGTTATTTTGACTTACTTGTTGTGAAAGAATTAGATGATAATTTACATTTCATGAGGGATTATAGGTACATCTCCATTTTTATCTGAGCTTGTCTTATCTATGATCAATGATACCTCTTAAGAAAATTAACTATTTATTTTAAATTTTTTAAAGTTATAGAGTACAAGTTTTTAAAGTATATTGTTACGATTTTCTGGATTCTTCATTTGTCTTTCGTTACGTCCCCATTTTGCCTTTTATTTTATTAAGATGGATATTGTTTCTGAGCATTTCAGTTAGTTTGCTTAAGGGTTTGTCTATCTTGTTGATTTTATCAAAGCATCAACTCTGCTAAATTGGTTCTTTTTATTGTTCCCTTGTTTCTATTTTACTAATTTCATCCCTATGTTTGATTCTCCTTGTCATCAGCTCCTCTTGTATCTGATTTCTTATTCTTTTCAAGAGTTTGTGTGGTGCAGTTAAGTTGCTAGTACATGATCTCTCTACTTTTCTTACATTTCCTTCTATTTTCTTTTTTTCCCTGAATTTCTTTAAGCAATTTATTCATTTCCTGCTAAAAGACCGCTATCACATTCATATAGTTGATTTTAAAATCTTTTTCTTCTGCTTCACCTGTCTTGGAATATTCATGACATTCTGTGGCAGAATAGCTGGGGTCTGGTGGAGACCTTGTACTTCTATTGATTGTGTTTTTGTGAGACCTGGTTTGGCATGATTATTGGTTTAGGAGATTATTTCTTTAATTTCTTTTCTGAATTTTTGTTTCGTTCATTGGTTTCTGATCCCTGTTTTGATTTTCAGAAAACATGTTGGCTGTATCTTACCAGTTTTACTGCCCCGCTCTGCTGGTGTGTTCCTGGAGAATACTTGCTAGTGATTAAAGCTGAGAAAGGTGAGGTACCAGGAAGAAATTCTGTGATAGCAATATGGCTAATCATGAAAACTGGGTCTGTGATAAGACAATACATTTAAATTTTTATTCTCTTTCCTAATCATATAAATTTTATTTGTGTATTACGGGAATATAATCTTTGATCTATACATCTGGCAATAATTTTACTTTATTAATGATACTGCTTGGTTTAAGGTTTCAGTTGAGAAAATTGTGACAATTTCTCCTGAAATATGCTAGGGAAAATGTCCAAAATGAGTTTCTAAATTTTTAGCAAACAACATATTTCAAGATGAAACACAATGTATGTATGAGGATTATTAGAGTGAATTTTACAGTTTTACATAAAGTTTGTGTTCAGCTTTTAGTAATCTATCATGCTATGAAATTCAAGGTAGAAGAAAATGTTTCTGCACACTAGCTACATAAGTGAATATCTTGGAAAAATGGAAAGTTGCTGTAGAATTGCAACAATGTATGTTTTGTTGAACACTAGTTTGTTCATCAGAAAATTCCGCGGGGTGATGTAGAATGTGGAATTATGGGGAAAGCTGTCATGTAACAGACTAAAAAACAATATTTGCATGAAATTGCAACACGGAGAAGATGACATAGTAGACCTATTTATCAGACTGCAATGAAGAGCATGAAGGGAAAAGTGAGAAGAGTTTGAAAAAGAAAATCTCCACAAACACCTGTGGTATTTCCCCCATAGCCTGTGATAACCTCGACAGAGCAGTGGGGCTTTGACCTGGAAATCAGGAAGATATTTGTAATTCATTTCCACTCTCAAGTTTCTCCAGCTAATGAATCAATATGCCTCAGTGATGTCATTTCCTGTTTTAAGAGTATGAGATATTTTACACCTAAAACTTTGACACTTGCTAGTACATGATCCTTGAAATTGCAGGATCTATTATTACATATTTACATAGCTTAAGATAAGAGAAGGCCAAAGAATTTAATTTTCCCTTATGTAAGAGTAAAAAAGAAAATGGTAAGGCAAATATATTCAATATAGATTCCTGTCTTTCTCTTTTTACTAATAAAAAGTGATGTCTTAATATAGAAACTGACTCATGGATGCATACATTCCGCAGTTATATAAAATTGTTATGTGGTCCTTGCCATTTCCTTGATTTTCTTAATATACAGATATGTTCATTATAGAGGGGGATATTATCTCTAAGTTGCAAACAATGTTTCCAAACCAGTGTATTTTTTCTTCTTATATTCTGCCTGTACAGAAGAGTTTACTTTATGGGTAATCAATATTGTTTATTCAGCAGTATTTTGTGCTAAATAAATATTTTATAAATATTTTATGTTTCTTATCAAGATTATTTACTTACTTTCCCAGTTGATATTAGCATTCCATTGGATGTTTACTTGGCAAAAAATATATTTTCCATTGTGTTGCCTGTGACTCTGTCTGAAAGACAGCGTTCTTTGCCATAGAAAATCCTTTCAGTTTCATGAGATCCTACTAATCTATTATTATTGTTTTTGGGCTGCAATCTGCTGTCAAAAAAACCCTTTTGCCGTACAAATGAATTCAAGACTTTCACTGCATTCTATTTCATCAGAGCTAGTGTATCTGTTCTTAATCTGAGGTCTTCTATCCGTTTAGAGTTGAGTTTTGTGAGGGTTGATAGTTATAGATATATTTGTGTTCTACTCCATGCAGCTACCCCTTTGGCTAACACCATTTATTGAAGATGCTTTTTATTTTTTCCACTGTGTATTTCTAGATTCTTTATCAAAAAGTAGTTGTCCATAGGTGTATGGACTTCTGTAGTGGTCCTCAATTCCATGCTATTAATCAACATATTATTTTTGTAAAAATATCTTGCTGGTTTTTTTTTTTTACAATAGCTATGTCGTACAATGTAAGATTAGGATAGTGATATCCCCAATAGTTATTTCAATGTCTAGGATTGTTTAAGCTGTCCTGGGTTTTTCTCTGTTTCCACATGAAACTAAAAATTCTTTGAAGATGTAAAAAAGCTAATTTATAAACAATGTCCTATATTATTTGAAATGTGAATCTTTTTAAATTTTATTTATTTATTTATTTATTTATTTATTTATTCAAAATTTCCACCTCTTCCCCGCCTCCCTTTACTCTCCCCATTCCCACCTCCCCCTCCCTCTCTAGTCCTAAGAGCAGTCAGGGTTCCCTGCCCCGTGGGAAGTCCAAGGTCCTCCCCCCTCCATCCAGGTCTACAAAGGTGAGCCTCCAAACAAACCAGGCTCCCACAAAGTCAGTTCATGCAGTAGAATCAAAACCCAGTGCCACTGTCCTTGGCTTTTCAGTCAGCCTTCATTGCCAGTCACATCCGAGTGTCCAGTTTGATCACATGCTCCATCATGAATCTTTAACAGAACAGCAATAATAGTGGGTTAATGAAAGAACTCAATTTTAAAAGCACATATCAGTCTCCAATATAGAATGGCAAGGACCTAGAAAATGTGGAATATTCCAGGTCTTTCTGAAAAAAGAGAAAATAATACACAGGACAAGAAAGTTCTTTCAGCATGAGAAACAGACAAGTAGAGGGAGCATAGATGATTCAGAATTCAGTACCAGCCACACGTCATATCTTGTTATTTGAACACTTACTATAGTCAGAAAGCCATGCAGAAAATACAGTAAATGAGTCAAAACAAAGACAGTAATACACAAAATGCTGAAATGGTACATTATTGTTAAATAAGATCATCAAACTATACAAAACTATATCAATGCAGTTATGACCAGTTAAATATGTAAATGAAAGGCAAAATAAAAGTGAATATGTTAGAGAGGTGTTAACATATCACAACAAAAATGAAAGTACTAGAATCCAGGGACAAGTCTCTGATAACCAGCTGTGAACACAGGATGAAATGCATCAGTACAATCAAAGGGTCATCGTGAGGTTAAAGTTCATTCCTCTCAGGGAAAAGTTGTAGTTATAACTAATCTTATATCATTCAATATTGCAAAGTCTCAAATAGAGAATAAAAGGAAAACTGTGTGGAAGCAGCGAGGAAGAGTAATAATGATCATGCTCTTTGCATTACCTATGAATATGCTGGAGAGTTCAGAGCTTTTGACACAGAACTGTTTGTCCACATATTCTCTATGGCCATAACAACGTCATGCCATTGGTCAGTTCTGCCTCTGTGTAAAAGAGTATAACTACCTTGATAGCAGATGATATCGATTTATTTTGCAAATATGTCATGTATTAGAATTACAGTACACATGTATGAGCAGATTCAATGTTGATCAATTCATCTATTCTGTTCCATGGACTGCACAAAGATTCTCTTGGTGTTCAGCAAAAAAAGGATGAATCTATAGAAAACTTCAAAATGACAGAATCCCATTGATAGAAAAAAAGAACCCACCAACCCAAAGAAACAAACATAAAAAAACATATGATCTTTATATTCCTCCCCATGCCTCACATCATAATAGACAACAATACAAGGACTTGTGTATATCATCCTAGCAATGGGTCAAGAAAAGATAATTCAGTGCTGAACCCACACTGCGTATAATGAAGATTATCATGTTTGGAGCCTAATCTTTCATGATTACTGTGCTCTGATTTCAGGTTGACACCTGACAACATCAACTTGATTTTCTCTCTTTATTTTGCCATGGAAGAAATCAATAGGAATCCTCATATTTTACCCAACATTTCTCTGCTAGCTACCATCAAATGTAATGTGTCTTATGGTCACATTAAATCTATTTTCTCTTCAAGAAGAAGAGAATACTTTCCTAACTACTACTGCTCAAAAGAGAGAAGATATTTAATTACACTTACAGGACCACGGTGGCGAGCATCTGCCATTTTTGGGTTCCTCCTCTACCTTTCTAGAACTCCAGAGGTAAGCCTGGCTGGATTAACTTTAATGAAGTATTTTCCCTTCAGGCTGCTATTCTGAGTACAAATGGTGGTGGGAAGACAGAGATTGGGTTTATGTATTTTCTGCTTCATAAAGCATAAATACTCAAACACTGTGGGAAACACAACTTTATAAGAAATGAACATGGGAGGAAGCAAAAAATGTGAAACATTTATCAAAACTCTTAATCTATAATAGTTTAGATAATCATGAGAAATTTGATATGATTTTAATAATAAATGAGGAATTCACAATTTCTAGCTCTCTCAGCATCTGCTTAGCACACATAGATCTTAGACTGAGTGTCACGCTTCCATCTTCTTCACACTGTTGCTTGTGTTCTATGTCTTTCAGCTTTATTATGGGTATTTTCACCCTCAACTGAGTGTCCATGAACAATTTCCTCATCTCTCCCAGATATCGCCCAAGGACACATCTCTAGCACTGGCCATTGTGTCCCTAGTGGTTTACTTCAGATGGAACTGGGTGGGAATGATCATCTCAGATGAAGATCTTGGAAATCATTTTCTTTCTGAATGGAGAGGAATGATGAAAAGAAACATTGTCTGTTTAGCATTTGTGGCTATTATCCCACTGAATAGAGAGTTATACTGGAAAATGTATATGAAGAATTATAACAAGGTCATGACATCGTCAGCAAAAGTAGTGATTGTCTATGGAGACAGAGATACTAATATGGCATTCAACTTTTGGATGTGGAAACCTCTAAAGATTCAGAGAATCTGGGTCAGTGTGTCACAATTTGATATGTTCATAGAAGGAGATTTCATGCTTAACTCCCCCGATGGGATTCTCATTTTTTCCCATCAGCATTCTGAGATGTCTGGTTTTAAACAATTTCTGCAGACAATGCGTCCTTTAAACTACAGTGATGAAGTTTCTCTTGTAAAACTATGGTGGTCTTATTTTAAATGTTCTTTACCATCATCTAATTGTGACAAACTGAAGAATTGTCCAACAAGAACCCTATTGAAATGGTTATTTAGGACACCGTTCGGAATGTCCATGAGTGATGTAGCTTATAACTTATATAATGCAGTGTATGCTGTGGCCCACACACTCCATGAGATGCATCTACAAGTAGACACATGGCCAAAGAATGCTGGTAAGAAGCTGGAACTTGACTCCTGGAAGGTAATGTGTCTTATACAGAAAGGCATGAATGTCACAGAGATGATGTTCTTAAAGGAACCACAAGGTCCAAATCGATGCAAATAAGGAATCTTTTTTCTGCATGCACATGTGTCTTTACCCTGGCACTGCATATGAGTCAGATCATGTTAGTGTCACGAAATATCATACAGTTAACACTGGCACCCAAGTCAGCATTTTACAATCTCAGTCAAGAAATTTTGTTCAGTTTAACCACACAGTTTTTTACATTTGAAAAGAAATATTTTCTCGTGAAATTATTAAATGGCAATACTAAAATGACTCCCCTTTGATGTGATCAAAAAGTTTCTTATCAATGTAGTGAAATAATACAAATATAAAATGGCTTTGACTTTTACCAACTAAGGATTTCAATTCCCTAAGTCAGGATTAAATAACACTGTTAGTAGAAAAAACTTGAGAATGTGCAACTACATTTCAGGCATACAATACAGATGTGCATGTTTTAAGACATCAACTCCAGTAAGAAATTTGTATTTTTAAAGCATAGAAATCTTTCCATATACATGGAATTTCTTCTTTTTTATTACTAAGAACTTTTAATAAATTATATTTTAGGAGAGGCTAATGAAAATTAGGGTCATTAAAATATTTTATTTTCCTGCCTAATATGTTATCATAGTTGAAACTAAAATGACAAATGTATTTTAGATATTCTCTTTTCTGAAGAACATACAATTTGAAAATCCTGCTGGAGACTTTGTGGCCATGAACCAGAAAGTAAAACTGAATACAGAATATGACATTTTCTACATCATGGATTTTCCACCAAATTTTGGACTTAAGATGAAAATAGGAAAGTTTTCCAGTCATTTTCCAAATTATCAACAGTTATATATGTCTGATGAAATGATAGAGTGGGCTACAGGTTTTAGACAGGTGAGTTGTTCCTAACTCTAAGGCTTTATGTGTATCAAAAATACCTAAAATCACATGGTCTGCTCATGATTCCTCATGGAATAAAGCATTTTGTCATTTATTCATTTCATGACTCACTTTCCAACCCTCCTTCTCTCTCTTCTCTTCTCTTTTTCTCTTATTTGACAAGATATAAATGACCAAACCTTCATATTTATTTTAAAAAATAATAAAATTTTATTCTAATTTTTTTATTGAAGACAGATTCTTTTCTCATACAATACTGATTATAGTTTACCCTCCATCTACTCCTCCCAATTTCTCCATCTCCTTCCCTCCCTCCTATCCAGTTCTATTCCCTTTGTGTCTCTCAGTAGAAAATACAGGATTCTTAGAAATAAAAAACAAACATAGTAAAATTAAATACAATAAAACCAAGGAGAAACTATTATGTTGAAGTTGGTCATGTCAGCCCAACAGGAAGAAAAGAGTCCCATGAGATAGAACAAGAATAGTGACCCACCTATTCTCACAGCCACGAGTCTCACAAAAGTTCTAACATAATATTTTGACGTATATGCAGAGGCCCTGTTACAGACCCAGGCAGGCCCTGTGTTTCTTGCTTCAGTCCCTGTGAGCTCATTTGTGCCCTCCTTAGTAGATTCAGAACCTCAGCTCCTGTTGTCCTCTCTCTCCTCTGCCTCTGAGAAGTTTTCTACTTCCACTTCCACAGGATTCCTTGAACTCAAGGGGGAGGACCTCTGCATAATACCTGGCTGAGGTTTCTGCATCAGTTCTGACCTCCTAATGGAGGAAGTTTTTTTGCTGATGACTGGTTAAGGGACTGATCTGGGAACCATTGAGAATCATGTTACTGATTTTTGTGTTTTTTTAATTAAGTAATTAATTAATTTAAAATTTCCACCTCCTCCCATCCTCCCATTTCCGTCCCACTCCCCCCTCTCCCCCTCCCCGTCGCTCTCCAGTCCTAAGAGAAGTCAGGGTGCCCTGCCTTGTGGGAAATCCAAGTCCCCCATCCTAGGAAGGTGTGCATCCAAACAGACTAGGCTCCCAAAAAGCCAGTGCATGCAGTAGAATCAAAATCCAGTGTCATTATCTTTGGCTTCTCTGTCGGCCCTCATTATCAGCCACATTCAGAGAGTCTAGTTTGATCACAAGCTGGTTCAGATCCAGTCCAGCTGGCCTTGGTGAGCTCCCACTAGATCAGTTCCACAGTCTCCGTGGGTGGACGCACCCCTCGCGGTCCTGCCTTCCTTTCTTATATTCTCCCTCCTTCTGCTCTTCATCTGGGCTTTGGGAGCTCAGTCCAGTGCTCCAATGTGGGTCTCTGTCTCTATCTCCATCCCTCTTTCAGACCAATGAGTATTTGTTCTCTGTTCTTTCCAGTTTCTGGCTCATAGTTACCCAAGCTGTGTTAAGTATGAATTCCTTCCCATGGAGTGGATAAAATTCAAACCAAACAATGGTTGTCTACTCCTATGAAATCTGTGCCACTATGACCCTACCATATTTGTTGGCAGGACAGATTTTAGGTCAAATGTTTTGTAGGCGTCCTTTATGTATATACCCCAAAATTGTTTAGCTGGGTCTAGAGATGGACCTAGTCTCATTTTTCTGAGAAACTGACATTTTGATTTCCATGCTGGATGTTTAATTAGCACTCTCACCAGCAGTGGAGGGGTGTTCACTTGTTCCACGTCCTCACCAGCATGAGATATTACTTGTGCTATTAAACTTACCCAATCTGAAAGGTATAGATTTGGTGATACTTCCTCGGCTCTTTTGCAATTCAAGATTGGTTTAGGTCTCTTGAGGTTATTATTTATTCACGTGATGTTGAGACTTGTAACATGACGGGTTGGCTTGTTGGGGTTTCTGTCCCGCCCGGTACCCCACAACCGGCAAGTCCCAGAGAAAATCACACACAGGACTCCATAAGACTATAAACTGATTGGCCCATTAGGTCAGGCTTCTTATTAGTCCTTATAACTTACATTAATCCATTATCATTATCTATGTTAGTCCTAATGGCTCAGTACCTTTTCCAGCTGGGCAAGTTTACATGTTGCTTCTTCAGTGGTCGGCACAGGAATGGCTGAGGGAGCTTTCTCCTCCCTAGCCTTATCCTATTCTCATTGCCCCGCCTCTACTTCCTGTCTGGTTGACCCGCCTATACTTCCTGCCTGGCCAATCAGCGTTTTATTAAAATACATGATTGACAGAATACAGATAATTCTCCCGCACCAGAGACTTGTCCTTTCAAGGTTTGTAAAGAATTGTGTTGAAATTTCTCTTGGGAATGCATTGAATCTTTAGACTGCTCTTGTAGGCTGTCCACTTTTACTATGTTATCCTTTCCAATCCATGAGCATGGGAGCACTTTCCATCTCCTGATTTTGTCTTCACTTTCTTTCTCCAAAGATTGAAGTTTTATCACAGAAGTATTTCTCTTGCTTACTTAGAGTTTACTCAAGATATATTATACTAGTTGAAGATATTATGAAAGGTGTTGTTCCCCTGAGTACTTTCTGCTCAACATTTGTATACAAGAGAGATATTTTTAAGTTAATATTGTATGTAGCCATTTAGTTGAAAATATTTATTATCTGTATGGGTTCCCTGGTGGACTTTTTAATGCAATTTGGCATACTATAAAATTCTCTGCAAATAATGATTCTGTCTTTCTCTATCATCTATTTGATTGTCTTAATTTCCTAGCTAAAATTCCAATACTATATATAATAAATATGGAGGGAGTGGACAACATTGTTTTGCTACTGATTTTAGTGGAAGGACTTCCAGTTTATTTCCATTTATTTTAATAACAACTATAAGCTTGCTATAAATTATCTTTTATGTTTAATTATGTCCCTTGTATCCTTAATCTCATCTGACATTTCATTACAAAGAAATGTTGGATTTGCAAGGTTTTTTCTGAATCTAATGAAATAAAGCTGTGGTATTTCCATGTATTTATTCATATAGTGGATTACATTTACTGATTTCCTGTATTGAACCATCCAGGCATCTCCCGGATAAAACCTACTGGGTGATGGAGGAAAATCTTTTTAATGTGTTCTTGGATTTTGTTTGAATGCTTTTACTGAGTGTTTTTGAATCTATGTCCATAGAGAAATTTATTTGTAATTGTCTTTCTTTGCTGAGGCTTTAGCTGTTATTCATATCAGGATAAATGTGGCCTCATAAAATGAATTGGACAATGTTCCTTCTGTTCCAATTTTGTGGAATAATTCAGAGATTATTAGAATTAACTCTTCTTGAACAGTATGGTAGAATTCTCTCCTGAAACCTTGAAGTCATGAGGTTTTCTTTGTTTGTTTGTTTGGTTTGGGTTTTTTGTTGTTGTTGGTTGCTTGCTTTTTTGTGTTTTGTATTTTTGTTTTTTCTGTGTTTGTAGTTTTGATTTGAGTTTTTCCTTTTTTGTTGTAATAATGTTAATGACTACTTCTATTTCATTAGGAGTGAGAGTTCTGTTTAAATTGTTAAATTAAACTTGTTTTAACTTTTGTAAGCTGTACCTTTTGAGAGAACTGCTGATTGATTTTACATTTTTGAATTTAGTGAAGTACACGTTTTTAAAGTATGTCCTCTGGATAGGTTTTCAAGTTATGTACTTACAATTTTCTGAATTTCCTTAGTGTCTGTTTATATGTCCTCCTTTTCTTCTATCTCATTAATTTGATTATTTTCTCTCTGCTGTTTAGAGTGGATAAGGGATTTATTTTATGATGTTGATTTTCTCAAAGAACCATCTCTTTGTTTCACTGGTTTTCTGCATCATTCTCTTTAATACATTTAAGCATTCATTTTGATTATCTCTTGCCATCTAATATTCTTTGGTGTGATTATATCTCTTTGTTATAGAGCTTTCAAGTATGCTAGTAAGTTGATAGTTTGGGATCTCTCCAGTGTCTTTATGAAGGTACATAGTGCTAGGAATTTCTTCTTAGCTCCACTCTCGCTGCTTCCCATAAGTCTGCATTTGTTAAATTTTTAATCTCCTTGAATTTAAGAAAACCTCTAATTTTTTTCCCGAATTTTGTCTTGAGTCATTTTTTATTAAGTAGAGAGTTTTCATGAGTTTGTAGATTTTCTATTTTTTTCTGTTGTTGTTGTCAATATTAAGCTTAATACCTGGTAGTCTGATAGGATACATGGAGTTATTTCAATATTCTTCTATCAGTTGAGGCTTGCTTTGTGTCTGAGTATCCTGACAATTTTGGAGACAGTTCCATGAGGTATTGAGTATAGAAGTATTCTTTTGTATTTTGGTGAAATGTTCTGTATATAACAATTATGTCCATTTGGATTAAAATGTCTGTTAACTCAAGGATTTCACTGTTTAGTTTGTTTCTAGATGAACAATCCATTTTTGAGAGTGGAATGTTAACATCACCCGCTTTCTGTATAAGAGGACCAATGCATATTTTACGATTTGGTAGAGTGTCTTTAACACACCTAGTATCTCTTTGTTTGTAGCATAGATGTTAAGAATTAAAATATCAACTTAGTGGGTTTTCCCCCTTTTGAGTATGTAGAATGTTCTCCAATCTCTTTTGCATAGTTTTTGCTTGAAGTCTGTTTCATTAGGTATTAAAGTAGCTACACCAACTCTAGAGTTAGGCACATTTTCTTAGATTATCTTTTTCCAACTCTTTTTTTTTGAGGTTATATCTAACCTCAAAATTGAAGGTGTTTCTTTGATGCATCAGTTATAGATCATGTTTACACAGTAAATCTGTTAGTCCATGTCTTTTTATTGGGAAACTGAGATCACTGACATTGAGATATTAATTTCCAATGTTTGTTGATTCATACTAATTTTCTGAGTGGGAAGACTAGAGTGTATATGTCTGTGAGTGTGTTTTTCTGTGTGTGTGTGTGTGTGTGTGTGTGTGTTTATGTGTGTGTATTTCCAATCTTTTGATTTTTCTGGTGTAAAATAATTTTCTATGATTTTATGTGTGTTGTTAATTTCTTTGGTTTTGATTTTTCCTTCTAGCACTTCCTATAAAACTGGATTTGTAGATATATTGTTTGAATTTGACTCTATGATAGAATATATTATTTTCTATATTATGATCACTGAAAATTTTCTGTTTTGCATGGTAGCCTGGACAGTCATATGTGGTCTCTTAGATTATTCAGGACATCTGTCTGGGCCCTTCTGGCTTTTAGAGTCTCCATTGAGAAGCTGGGTATAATTCGAACAGGACTACCTTTATTTGTTAATTGAACATTTCATTGTCAATTATAATATTATTTCTTTGTTTGGTATGCTTAGTGTTTTGATTTTTAGATGACAAACCAAAGCCCTTTCTTTTCTGGATCAATCTACTTGGAGTTCTGTAGGCTTCTCCTACCTTTTCAGTCATCTGTTTTGTTTCATCAGTAATAGTTTCTTGTATAATTTTATGGAAAATATTTTCTGAGCCTTGAGCCAGGTATGTTCCCTTTCTTCTTTACCTCTTATTCTTAGTCTTGATCTTTTCATAGTGATGTCTCTAATTATTCACTGTTTTATGTCAGGTTTTTTTAGATTTAATATTTTATTTCACATATGTGCCCATGTCCTCTGTCACACATATGTGCCCGTGTCCTCTGTCACACATATGTGCCCATGTCCTCTGTCACACATATGTGCCCATATCCTCTGTCACACATATGTGCCCATGTCCTCTGTCACACATATGTACACATGCCCTCTGTCACACATTTAATGCCCCATATTCTCTCACTCGTGTCTTTTATTCTGCCAGTGAAGCTTTCCTCTGCAGTTCATGTCAAGTTCCGAAATGTTTCATTTCCAGAATTTCCTCACTTAGGGTTATCCTTTTGATTCTATTTCTGTTTTCAGGTCTTAAACAGTTTTGCTTATTCCTTAAAGTATTTATTTGTGTTTTCCTGGGTTTCTTTAAAAATTTTTCTTAATTTCTTATTTAGAGATGCTATCATATTCAAACAGGCTGTTTTAATATCTTTTGCCTGTGCTTCAGCTGCATTTGGATACTCAGGGCATGCTGAGGTAAGAAAGCTGGGCTCTGATGAAGACATACTTTCCTGGCTGATGCTAATATTTTTTGATTGCTTGATTTTGTCATCTGGATTTTGGATGAAAAAATTCTAGGTGCTAATTTTTGGATTTGTCTTTGCTTGCTGTGTATTTTGCTCCCTGGTTTCTGTTTTCTCTCTGAATTTTCAGAGAGTGATGTCTGTATGTTGCCAGTTGTCCTGACTTGTTCAGTCACTATGTTCACAGGGAACTCCTGTTGGTGTTTGAGGCTGGGTCACTGGAATGAGTTGGGAACAGGAAGGCTGGAGCTGAAGGTCTTTGTGATCCACTGAGGTAGGATCAGAGAAGAAAGGTGAAATGGAAACAAGAACAGGTTTTCAGTTGCAGAGCTGGGGATGGGACTAAAACGATGTGTCTTATGAGCAGCAGGAGAACTGTATGATTGTCCTCAGCCTACTCACTGACCTGGAGGGGGACACTTGGATTAGCAGGGGATGCCTACTGGAGTTATGGGCTGGGAATCAGAAATGAGTTGGGGAGGAAGAATAGGAGAGGATAGTTTTTGCCACCCAAAGGAGATGTGGGCAGAAATGAGGGAAGTCTGCAGAGGATGTTCTATTGCAGCCCTCGGGTCAAGAAATCGGGTTTGTGTTTAGGGGAACAGGGAGAGAGATGAAGGTGAGAAGCCTACAGGGTCATCTGGAAAAGATAAAGTCTGTTTTAATAGGACATACCTGTATAGTTCAGGGCTGAGACAGGAATGAATGAGAACAGGGAGGTTAGGAAGCAATGGTCTGTGAGATCCATGGCAGGTGTGGGAAGGGGGAGTGGGGCTGCAACTGGTGTTCTAGTGCAGGATCTAGGAGCATCCTGTGGAACTGCTTTTGGGAAAAAAGAGACACAGGAAAAGACATGAAAATTGTTTCATAATAGTATACATGTCTGTAAAAGGGTTTTTTTTCCAGTTATGCCACGCTGTCAATCACTGCTGCTTTTCTCATATGCATTAAACTCAATTTGTAAAATGTATATGATTTACTACAGACTCCACCCTCGGTATGCAGCCCACCTTGCCGTCCAGGACTAAGAAAATTCCCTCAAGAGGGAAGGGCTATCTGCTGTTTTGATTGCAACCCGTGTCCTGAAAATGAAATTTCAAACATGACAAGTAAGAATATACTTTACCAAAATAATCAACAGACTGTATACTTTCTGTCTCAATTATAAAGTTTTTAAAGAGCCTTTCAGGGGAAAGGAACAGTAAAAACACTCATTACAAAGTTAGAAAAATAATAATACTGCAATTTGGAAAACAATACTGCCTATGTTAAACTATACTGCTCATGAACTTTATTTCTCTCTCATCATTCCAGAAGCGGTGAAGTATTTTTTCCTTAATCATTTCTTTTTAGTAATAAAATTACTATAGCATCTCATCTTTATCTTAGAATTCTGCATATTGCATTAAATTATATCTACTTTTCACTTTTATTAAGGATATAGTTGCTACGCATCTGCCTTACTTATGGTTTCTATCCCTGTAAAAGACCACAACCATGGAAAATATGATTTAAAAAAAATTGGGATGGCTTACAGTTCAGAAGTTTAGTCCATTTTCATCATGCTAGGACATGGTAGCATGCAGGCCGACATGGTGCTGGATAGGGCATAATATTCAAGAAGAAGCTGAGAATTTTCCATTTTGATCAGGAATTGAATTGGTAATCACACTGAGCTAGGTCAAAGGAGAGCTCAAAGCCCACTCCTCAGTGACACAGCTCCACCAAGGCCACAACTACTCCAAAAACCCATACTTCTCACAAGTGCCACTTTCTATGAGATTATGGGACCAGTTGTTTCAAACTACCACAACAGCCATATTTTCCAATGCTAATCAATGTCTCTAACAAGAAATGAATGCTTGGTACTGTTGTATCATGCTTTAGAAACATGTGTTTTTATCGTGTGCTATGGTAGATCAATACAGTTATTGGTAAGATTCATTTTCATTATATCCTAGTACACACATGAGTTTGGATGCCAAAATTTTGATCTCTGAATTATTTTTTTATTGGAATGACCATAACATGTATTCATGGACAATTTTTAACTGAATATTGTCAGTGGCCATGGGCATACACAGCATATGACAACAGAAAATTTAAGTGTCAACCCACAAGACAAATAAATTTTGAATGGAGACAATCATGTCTACAAAAACTTACAGAATCACTGACTCTGAAATCTGGTTTCCTGTATCTGTAATTTCTCTCATGAGTCACTTCATTTCTTTCCTAATGAAATCTTTGGGTGTCTTCACACTGCTTGTGTGTTTATCCCGTGAAACTATTCCACCGGGCACACATATATCTGTGGATATATGTACTAGGCACACAAATATCTGTGAGTGATCAAGAAGATGACTTCTAATTAAGCAGTATAATTTTGATATATAGAAAAATAATAGGGCATGCTTCATAACTACATACGTTGTTCCACAAAGATGTAAGACACTCAAAGTCTGCTTCGTTCTCTTTACCTAGACTAAAACTGAAATCAACAAATTCTCCAATGTCAAAAGGCAAAGTACACACAATTAGCTCACTTTTAACTAAGAGTAAGTTCAAACTAGACTAAAGGTTTTGTAAATAAATCATAAGTTTAAAACTTTACAGTTATGCACAAGGTCAGAGTCACAGGTTTCTAACCATTCTTATTAACATAAAGCAGCCTGAAAAAACATGCCAATTCTTTGTCTGCTAAGTCTAGCTGATAAAAGACCTGTGTCTCACAGCTTACCTCTCTGGGAACTCTGCCCCCACCCTCTGGTTACAATCTAGTCCAAGAAACTTAAAACTTTGTGTTGCCATGAAAAGGGGTTCTGCCCTTATTGATCTCCAAAAGAAATGCAGTTTTGGCCAGTGAGATGTAACTCTTGTAAAATTTTTTCTGACTGCTCGGATCTCCTGAAAAAACAATATTTTTAAGATAGGTGAACAGAAATGCAGGGAGATTGGAACAGAGAATTGAAACAGATTTAGAAAAATATTTAGAACTAGAGAACTGGAACAGAGAATTGAAGCAAAGGAAAACGAGATGCTACAGACATGGAAATAGAACAGAGGAATAAACAGCAGGACCCCAGCAGCATGTGTGTGAGTTATTCTGTTATCTTTCAGACTAGACATCTTCTCAGTTCCCTTCACAAAGTTGGAGCATCTGACGTGAACCCTGGGAGGTACTTTTGTGCACTGGACTCACAATCTGCTGAAAAAAATGTGATAATATCTATATTGAATTTCATAGAAACTTTGAAAATTATATTATTGGCAGTTTATCTGGTAAAAATATACAGAATTAATTGCAGTTGGAATAATTAGAAACAGTCAAATTATTACCTTCTAAATTCATTTAAGAGCTATACCAGAACGCAAATGGTTTCATATGATTTGGACACAAGTATTATGAAGATGAAGTACATAATTTAAATTACACAACAATGTTAAACATACTTGGTAACAGAAACCAGTGAACTATTCAAGAATATAAACCACTTGCATAGAATAAAGCATAAAAAAGAAATTAATAAAAATATTGATTCAAATGATTCTATAGAATATATATGAAGTTCAATTAAAAGTTTAAGTTTAGTGAATTTGTGTTGACTGAATACATGGATGCTAAACTAAATTTTATTAAATTTCCCCTTGTTTCTATATGTATTTCTAAAGACGTTAAAACATAATATTTTATAATATATAATCATTTTTAAATGGATAGAAAGAGTTGAAGTATTTTGATAGTTCTATTTACTAGTTTAGGAAACACTGTTTTTCACAATCAGAGAGAATATAAAAATCAAAAGAGAATGTACACTCATCAATTTAGTGACTCAGTAATTGTAAGACAGCATCACTTCTCAGTTTGATCCACTGACTCAATGTCACTGAAAGAAAACTGAATATATTAGGCTGTAAATTACATAGACACAGCTAGAAGGAAGGTCTCAGTCCCTACCCCTTATTTTCTTTCAAAATTATGTCCTTAAAATATGGAAAATTATCTTGCACATAATGCTTCTCAATGAAGTCTACACTTCTGGGAATATTGAGTAGTTGAATCTCACAGAAATTAGCAAAACTGGCAAATAATATGCCCTACCAAAATTCATGTACTGAAACATAAACCAAAGGTGATATTTTTGCCATGTAGAGAATTTGTGTGGTAACTTGTTCGTGCTATCACTGCCTTGCTTGACATATCAGTGCTTTTTTCTTGCTTGCTTTCATGGCTGAACTTTTTGTTATCCAAATATCATCTGTTGGTATGCTCTTCTCTGTGGAAGACTGTATCTCCCATTTTCAGTATTCCTTAGTTGCCTGTAGTTCTTTGCATAGGGCTTTTGTCTGATGGTCTTTCTCCCATCCACTTTATCATGTCTCTTGTTCTGGTCCTTGGTCAGGACCATACTTGAGGTTCAGAGATCTACCATAACATGCATGGAAACTGCTCATTCTAAGTTCTTGTTCTGCATAATATACAAAAGTATGAATAGCAACAGTGTGATTCCATGACTGATCTTACCAAAATATGCTATTGTAGAAACATGAATATGATACAACAGCATTTCATTCTTTGGGAAGTATATCAAAGACTCTTGACTCTGAAAGATAAATATTAACAAAGCCTTTCATAAAAATAATTCAGATTAAATCCTATGAATAAACAACATTTAAATTTCCTTATACAGAAAGAGGTAATAATAGTCGAGCTATTGTTTTCCAATGCATTAGTTTAGCATAAGTTGTACATAATAGAGAAAAATGAAAATTGATAATAATATCCTTCCTCTACTAGACATGGATGAATGTGTGAAGTGTCCACATGACCAGTATGCCAACAAAGATCAAACTCACTGCCTCCAAAGAGTTGTGAGCTTTCTGGCTTATGAAGATCCCTTGGGAATGTCTCTGACCTGCTTGGCTCTATGCTTCTCAGCTCTTACAGCTTTTGTACTGTATGTCTTCTTGAAGCACCGGGACACTCCCATTGTCAAGGCAAATAACAGAGCTCTCAGCTATGTCCTACTCGTCTCCCTCATCTGTTGCTTTCTCTGTCCCTTGCTCTACATTGGCCATCCAGACACACCCAGCTGTATAATGCAGCAGACCACATTCGCAATTGTGTTCACTGTGGCCACCTCTTCTGTCTTGGCAAAGACAATTACTGTAGTATTGGCGTTCAAGGTCACTGCTCCAGAAAGAAGGATGAGGTCACTGCTCATATCAGGGGCACCTAATTTCATCATCCCCATATGCACCGTGATTCAAATGATTCTCTGTGGAACCTGGTTAGGAACTTCCCCTCCATTTGTTAACACTGATGTACATATGGAACACGGCCACATCATTATTGTTTGCAACAAAGGTTCGGTAATCTTCTTCTACTTTGTCCTGGGATACCTGGGGTCTCTCGCACTAGCGACTTTCATTGTAGCTTTCCTGGCTAGGAATCTGCCGGACACATTCAATGAAGCAAAGTTCCTGTCGTTCAGCATGCTGGTGTTCTGTAGTGTCTGGATCACCTTCCTGGCTGTCTACCACAGCACCAAAGGCAAGGCTCTGGTGGCTGTGGAGGTCTTCTGCATCTTGGCCTCAAGTGCAGGGCTATTTCTTTGCATTTTTGCCCCCAAATGCTACATTATTTTGTTAAGACCACAGATAAATTCTTTTCGCAAGTTCAGAGTCACAAATGATAAAGCTGAAAATGTTCATTAAATTTATCTAGCTTATTAAAAAACTGCAAACACGTCCACAAGATGACAAAGTTGCTATCTACTCATTAAATATTGCAAACATATGAAGATTCTGCGTGTAAAATGTAGAAAATGAGCTGTGTAATAAAGTTTTAACACATGACATCAGTTCTATGGACCAAACCTTCTGACTGGTCTTTTCTTATTGTCATATTTGAGAAAGTGTGTGCTTCTCATTACCACCTGTGCTAAAATGTTGGGACAATATTGAGTTCTTAAGTTCAGCTAAGCTAGACAATCTATTAAGTGATTTAAATAGGGAGATTCTTCTAGGAGCTTAGATTGGAGATAGAGGAAGGCAAAAGTAATACTGATTAATTTATAAAACCGGGTGCTTTTATTCACTTTCCTTCTTATTTATTTTTGTATTGCATCTGTTTGTCAAGACAGGGTTTCTCTGTAACATGAGAAGGCCAGGCCTGCTAGTTTGTGTTTTCTGTCCCGCCCGGTTCCCCCAGCCTGTTTAGCCCCAATGAAAATCAACCACAGATGACTCAGTAAATTATAATGCTGATTGGCCCATTAGGTCAGGCTACTTATTAGCTAACTCTTACATCTTGATTAACCCATTTATCTGATCTATTTTAGCCATGTGGCTCAGTACCTTTTTCAGTGTGGCAACTCACATCCTTCTGCTTCGGTGGCCTGGGCAGGAGTGGGAAGAATTAACTTCCTCCTCCTCAGAATTCTCCTACTCTCCTTGCATCATTTCCACTTCCTGTCTAGTTTTCCCGCCTACACCTCCTGCCTGGCCAATCAGCGTTTATTTAAAACATGATTGACAGAATATAGACAATTCTCCTGCTAAAATGTTGAGACAATATTGAATTCTTAAATTCAACTAAGCTAGACAATCTATTAAGTGATCTAAATAGGGAGATTCTTCTAGGAGCTTAGATTAGAGATAGAGGAAGGCAAAAATAATACTGATTAATTTATAAAACTGGGTGCTTTATTCACTTTCTTTTTTATTTATTTTTGTATTGCATCTGTTTGTCAAGACAGGGTTTCTCTATAGTTTTGGAGCCTGTTGTGGAACAAGCTCTTGTAGACCAGGCTGGCTTTAAACTAACAGATATCTGCCTCCCTCTCTGGAACTATAGATGTGCAGCACCACCGTCCAGCTTGTATTCATTTTTCTGAACATGGTTATGGCTAACAACTGTAGTGTAGACTGGGACCACACTGTCATTTATGGCCCTCTAGCTGTCAACCAGTACATAAGCTTACAGTAACATTTTTGTGGACAATAAAGTGTTGGATTGAAGTGTGCCATAGGTATTGTTTCTAATATTCAATAATTTACAAAGATGTTATAAATATTTCCCAAATTTATGAAATAAATATTATTGGGCCTTTAAAGAAAGTCAGTGGTTTCCTTAAAAGAACCTTGTGACAGGAATGAGCTATTAGTAAAATTCCAGATATGTGATACCCCTTTGGAAACAACACTTTTGGGAGGACTTGTTGGAGAATGTGTTTCTGTACTAGGCAGACTAAGGAAGACCTGTATCTAGGACAGAACTTTACAAAATAGAAGGAATAATGTTAAGAATGTGATAGGGATTTGGAGTCTCAAATGTTTTCATATGGTCCTTAATTTGTCTGACAAAACTTTCTCTGAGAATATGCAACACACACGTATACACACCCCAGATAGTGAACCCACAACAGATAAAAAAAAAATACAGATAGCATGAAAATGCAATTTTGCAATCCAATAAGTTTTGAGGATTGCTTACTAGAATACGGGTGAAGGGTTGGTTACTTACAGAGAAAGAAATAACTCAACAGAATCCACCCAATTATAGGAGGCAACTCACAGAACGAAAAACCTGGAGTACACTTACCAGCCCGCAAGCAGATCAAATGGTTGGAGAGGGAGGATTTAGTCCAGATGATGCTTGTCTTAACCTCTTGCAGGCAGCTTTCCTGGTTTCTACTTCAAGGCAGTTGGTCTGGTTCCAGAGTCTACTTTTCAAAATTTACCCTCTGGGAGCCCTCTTTGCAGCTCGGCTTCTATTTGTCTGAGACCAACACTCAGCTGTTATTGTCAACTGGGGTGGGTAGTGAACTAGTGAATCTGAGCAGTTTCTAGGATCTACTGAAGCTATTTTGAGCTGTTTACCTTTCTTCTTGAGGAGCTTTTCACAGGTTAGGAAGATTTAATCTCAGGGAAACCATTAGACAGCACCCTGCGGCTTCCTCTGGCTCTTAAATTTTACCACCCCTTGTTCTTCAATTATTCCTGAGACTTGGAGGAGTATCTACAGATTCATACCAAGGTCTGTATAAAAGGCCACCATGTCACAGTAACAGATACTTGTTCTCAGAAGCTTCACCTGTGGTAATGAGTTGTTGTTGACAACCGCTGTAAATTATGAGTGTAAGCCACATCAAACATGTTTGATGAAGGCAGTTTGACAGAAACGTCTCATATATCTAGAAAACTATAGAAATTGTTTTCTCAGCCACAGCCTTTTGCTCTGGTTTACAACGCCAACCTTAAGCGCCCTCTAGTGGAGAGAGACTTAAATCTAATTGGAAGACTTGGTCTTACCCATGGTAACCACGCCATTATTGCAAAGGCAAAGATATCCTGGCTTGAATTTTAAGGGATAGCATGCAGGGGCTAGAGCCAAGCAAGAAGTTTTATTACAATTTTCCATCAGCAGCCTTCCTTCTCCTACTCCCAAGAATACAATATCCCTCCAGTGTGGTAGAAGTTTGAAGTGGTCCAGCCTAATTTCTCCATGTCCTGATATCAAAATATGTACATGCAATATCTTTACCCACAGGGCCTCACTATTTAGCCCTAACACATGATAACCAGCATTAGCAGTAACTTTTATGATTTGTGGAACCCTATGCGGAATCATACAAAAACATACAGGAAGGTAACACATCCCTAGCATTGAAATTTTCATTCAGTAACCTAATGGCATCTGGAGTATCTTTTTTTTTATCTTTGCTTATATATAATACATTTTGGGGGTTTTTTGGTGTTGTTGTTATTTTAATTAACCTAGTCCCAGAAAGGTTACACGATACTTGTAATCTTCATTGTACATAGCTTTTTTATCCAATGGCTTTCCAAATTCACAAAACACTCATTGCTTAGTGGATGGGTGCAATAAATTAACCAAAATATCTGATCCTTAACTGAGAAGGGGAGACATTTATTCCAAACTGTCAAATTGTCTCTATGAAAAGCAGAAAGTAGTAGTGGGGAAAAATCCTCTGGATTGTATAGGAATTTGTACCTGAGACTTGGAGTATGGGCTTGTAAGTGATGCCTATGGGCACCTAGGAAAAATTCCATCAGACCCATCTAGTTACTGACCTTTGTATAATTTTGCTAACTCTTTTCTAAAACAGTCTGATGATACAGAGAGCAATGATTAGAATAAGAATATTGGAAATCAGTTGACCTAGGAGGTAAGAGCCAGATACTCAAATGAGACAAAAATAGAGTTGTAAAAAACAGTGGTTCTGGAGACAAAAGAGTTTTTCCAGAACATATGAGATTTTAATATTTCTTCTACCTGGCCAGATAGGTTTACCTAGTAGTTGTTGCAATGAGAGGCCGCTTGTTTATCCCAGCTGCCCAGCTAGCTTACTCCTGAAATAACCACACAGAAACTGTATTAATTAAAACACTGCTAGGTCATTAGCTCTAAGGTCTTATTGGCTAACTCTTACAAATTAGTTTTACCCATCTCCATTAATCTGTGTATCACCACATGGCAGTGGCTTAATGGAAAAAATTCTAACCTGCGTCCCTCTCAGGCAGAGAATCCAAGGCATCTCTGACTCTGCCCTTCTTCCTCCCATCATTCAGTTCTGTTTTCTCCACCTACTTAAGTTCCACCCTATCAACTAAGCCAAGAAAGTTTCTTTATTCATTAACCAATGAAAGCAACACACAAACAGAAAGAACTCCTACACCAAGTAGCAGTATTTTTCTTTGAGGAAGATACAAGTGCCTTCCTTTCAGCAATTAGCAAGTTGAGGACACTTTGATTTTAAAGTACAGCCAAGTGCAGAAAAGGGATCTGGTTTTAGAATAATTGTAGAGTCAATATTGATTCCTGGATTTTATCTGCTAGCTGGAAGTAAACCTGCTGAAATGTATACAGACTATGGATCAAGTCACTGACAGCCAAACCCATATATTGAAATTTGCCAGACAAATTCAAATCATGACTTGTACAGCTATGGACTGTTAGTTCCTGTGTGAGACTTGGAGGCATATATAATTCACTGTGAGGGAATGGGTGAGTCGGAGAAATAACAGGGCAGGAAAACAATTCCCATGAATGGATTTGCCTATACATTGGTAAAGTATGAATTGTCACAAAAAGAGAGTCTCTTCCATGGCTGGGAAAGTTCCTGAAATTGATGTGTTAGGACCAGTTGCTGAAGGGCAGAATTTAAAGTAGTTACTAAAGAAGCAGTCACCTGGTACCCCCGGTGTAGGAGTAGGCTGCTTGTTGGTTCTTGGCCACTTAGCCTTGAATTCATCACAAAGGAACTGTATTAATAAAATCACTGCTTAGGCCATTAGCTCTAGATTCTAATTGGCTAACTCTTACATGTTAATTCAACCCATTTTCTATTGATCTGTGTATTGCCACGTGGCAGTGGGTTTACTAGGTAAAGTTCAATCCTGCTCCAGTGGAGGTAAATGGCTTGTTCTGACTCTGCGCTTCTTTCCCCCGGCATTCCAGTTAGTTTTACTTGCCTAGCTCTGTTACCCTATAGCTCTACTGTAAGCCCAAAGCAGTTCTTTTACTTATCAAAGGTAATCACAACATACAGATGGAAATCCCACATCACCTCCCCATTTCCATTGAATAAAAATGGAAGGCTTCAAATTTAACATAGTAAAATTACACATAACAAAATAGGTATCAAGCAAGAATTACAGTTACAATATTTAAAATTACTTTATCTTTTACC